TGGAATGAAAAGTTTTCTTGTTAAGTAAATCATTTAGTGTGTGTTTTTGTACGACCTACATAAATTGTTCTTCATAGTTGGAAAATATACACAATCAATTACAGTATTTCAGCCTCATGCAGAGTATAAAAATGTGCTTTACAGCACTCAAACCATTCCAAGGACTGTTGGCGCAATTACAAGTCAGTACTACAGAATATATTTGCCTCATGGCTCTTATATTTGCCTCTCGCCTGAGACATTGAAGGTGAGCCCATGTTTTAGGTACTTCATGCCCAAATGACCTCTTCCAGAAAAGCTACATGAATTCTGTTTCTTAATGTGTGGCTCTTATGTCTATATACATTTATTTTGTGGGAATTCTATGTGTGATTAATGTGTGAAACTCTTGCACTGGCCTCTCACTCACCACCAATTCAAAATGCAGAACCACAAAGAAAAAAACACTTACATGGAAAATGTAGAGTCCTGTTTCACTGTCAAGGGCCCTTAATGTAAACTTAATGCATGAATTATCTTTTTCCTACCGATGTGAAGTTCAAATGACAAAAATAATTTCAATATAATGTTCTTGGTCAACTTCAAGAGCATCATATTTAATCTGCATGAATGAATCTGCTTTTATTTATTTAGTTTATTTTTTTGAGGTTGTTGACAGGGTATGGCATTGGAGCAGGTTTCCCTGGCATCTCAAACAATCCCTGGTACTGTTTGGCTTATTTCTTTACATGTCTCTCAGCCAGGCTCTGTTAACAATCTTTTGCAGACATTGTTGGCACCACAAAGGAATGCTATACTTTTTGTGCTACTAATTTTCTGAAACTGATCTCCTTTCTGGCAAACCTGCTGAGAGCAATCACACAGCATGCACATGTGTAGCCGTACTGAACTACTGAAGCCAAATGTGAGAAGTCACTAATAAGTCAGTTTTCTTATGGCTGAGATATTTTCATATGTTTAAAGATGTTTTGCTGAAACTTCTGCTGTTACTTCAGGACAGCACAGACATGAACACTTTCTCCACCAAAGCATGTTATATCAGCTGCTGCCTCTTCACATGTTAACATGTTTGGATAGTGTCCTTACAGGGTGAGACACTCAACAGTCCCCAAAATTAGGGCTGTTTTAATCATAATCACCATTATTTTTCTAGGAAGTGACATTGAGATTAAAACCTTTTGCACACAGACCTAGCCAGGATAGGGAAAAGGCAATAAGGCAGTCTACATAATTACAAAAATATGGATGCCATAGTAATGGTGGAGAAAATTGCCCATGCGCTATTCAAACCTCAATAGATTATATGCATTAATGTGTTTACCACCAAGCAGGAGAGAAAGTGGAAACCGCAATCTGTTCCCCACAGGTGTGATTAATACAGTGAGTCCAAAGAAAGGACTTGGAATTAAAATGATGAAATAAATATTAACACGTAGACCTGTGCATAATTCACACTGCAAAGCCTGGGTGATGCATTGTGCTGCCATTCACCTTAATTACTATCCTGATTTACAGCTGGGGAAACAAATTACTGAGCCTCTGGGTTTAGTTTGACCCCAGGAAATTAAAATATAAATATAGAAATTAAAAAATAATGATAACTTTACTCGGTCCTGTGGGTATGGGCTTGATAATGTGTTTTCTTTACATATTTAAAGAGCTGGGGCAGATATTACAATAGTTATTGCAGTTATTTGAATCTGCAATCTTAGTAGCCTGGGCACAGGGCCAATGTGGCAAAATCAGAACTTATTTTTATGAACAATTTACTGCTACATAATGTATAACAGTACCAATAAATGAGGTGGATTCCAGAAATTGAAAAATATGTTCTGTAATATAGGTGAAACATTTGATTGAACACTGTCCCTAAGACAAAAAAGTGCATACAATTCTATGAATTTGAATGATTCCATTTACAACTGCTTCATAAATGTTTTACACGTCTATTTCAACAAAAATATAAGGAATTGGTGTATTGTAGAGTTTTGAGAGCTGCAGAGTGTCTAACTAAATTTAACCATAACTTATGAACTGTATGGCAAGTCAGGGATCGGAGGTGCTTACAATACATTTATGAATGAGAAATAATTCCTTACCTTCCAAAAGTTTCTTTAAGTTTATGAACTAAGTATGAATTCATGTGTCTATAAACTATTTATGAACTCTTCAGAGAGCTCAGTTGCTCATATTCTTGAGATGTATTGGAGGATGTACTCGTTTGTATCTAATAAACAAACAATTCATTAAAAATATGACACTCAAATGGGTTAACAATTCAGGAGCTGATACCATTGATATTGAATTCTGGAAGAAAGAAAGCCTTTTGCTCTCATTCACGTTTGCTCGGCTTACGCAGGGGGAATTGGCTGAAGTTAAATTAACTAGAAAAGTGAGTCACAGCAGACAAATCAGAGAAACAGGCTGACAGCGGTTTTCGTCTGGTATCTGTCTGTTAGATTTAACATGTGGAACAGCGTGGAGTCCTGTCGTGGGCTCCCAGAGGAAACAGCAGCACGGCGCGATGCGCAGAGCGCTCCCTCAGTCACGTCCCTCCGGCAGCTGTGCTCAATAAGAGGCAATCAGCGGCAGAGCCGAGTCTCCGGCTCGTCTCTGTCACCCCGCAAGACACGCGTTTCAGCTGGCATCCATTATGCATCAAACTCTCGCAACAAATCTCCTGAAATAGAACAAAGTGTCAGGAATGATGAAGAACAATTGGCTGTAGAGCAATGCACAGAGAAAGAGAGATAGAGGGAAAGAGAGAGAGAGTGTGTGTTTGTGTGTGTGTGGAGGACGGTGGGAAAATTAACATTCACAGCTGAAAGATTCTGCCTCTTTGTTTATATTTGTTTTAACTTTAAAAAAAGATGTATTTACTCCTGGGATGATTGCCAGTTGGAATCATCCGTCATTCTAATTGGATCCGTTTAAAGAGATGCTCATCTCATAGAGATGTGTTGTTTTTCTTATTTCTCTGGTCAAATCAAGCTGTCTCCTTGTAGTGAAAGAGAAAGTGAGATGTAGGAATCTAACGGTGGACAGATGCCATTTTTGTCATTTGCTTGAGTTGCGATTGTTTCATGTGCTGATGGATTCATTCTCTTTAATCTGATATCTTCTGCGGTTTTCTGTCTATTGAGGTGTCTTTTGTCTCCATGTCATTACCAGCTTTGCTTATTGAAATTTCACACCGCTACTCTCTTGCATGAGTGTCTGCGATGGCATGCAGTTAATGAAAAAGAACGAATGAACGAGAGAGAAGAACCAGGGCTGCGAATGACTTTGTTAGATGTCAGAAGCAGGACGGGATAATTTACCATGCTGTATTCTGCATTGTTCTATTGCAGGCCCTCAAATGAATATCCATGCCTCTGCAAAACATTGGCAGATAAATCCATGTCACTACCTTACAAGAATGTCCAGAGCTATTCATTTCACATTATCCTCCTCCATCTCAGAATTCTCCAGGTCTACAGAAATCAGCATTGAATATTTGCTCTATGGAAAGAACATTGAAATTCCAAGGGCAGAAACTGCAAACCGGCAGCCAAAAGGTCTCTCAGTAACGTCTGGGAACTAAATCACATTGATGAAAAAAGCCACCTTGTTAAACTTTGCGAATGGGGCTCCAAGAAAAAGTTAGAGGACCCTGGAGACAGTTAATATAAGGAAAAAAGCACACAACGATGTTGCCAAAGGAAACAGACAGCTTTGAAAGGCACGCTGCACAAATATAATTCCCCTCGCTGGCTCAGCGGAGCCTGCAATGAAGAAAAGGTTTAAACAAGGCAAGGACAGATAGGATATCCCTGGGTCACAAAAATCATTTCAAGGAAAAATAATCTGCCTGAGTGGAGTTACACAGACGAACGGAACACAGACGGCTCATTGTAACTCAGAGCATAATTTGAAACAAAAAATCCTGGACTCTTTTCCAGGTTCACAGGACATGGGGTTTCCAACAGAAAAAAGAGAGAAGAAAAATCCAATCAAAAAAGCAGGGAAACATTGCCTTTGCAAATTACACTCAGACTGTGTCTCCATTTCATTCAGGATTTTTTAAAAGATGAATTAAAACACACTCAACTCGACTACCACAGCCAAGCTTCAGACCCAGTTTTTAGCAATGGTTAAAATTACAGGGATATGCCTGCCATTTCAAAAACATAAATTATGAAGGACTAAACCAATAAACTAGGCTCATTTCTTGGTTCTTTTAAGTCCCATATTTATTACATTAATGACAGTAATTCTATTTGACTGACAGGTTTAGGTCATTTTTAATTGATTTGGGAAATGCATTTGATGTCCCTCAAGCAATTTTTTTTTGTGCCGGAGGTAATACTAGACCTCTGGAGGTAAATTCTGACAGGGACGCCATTTGTTAAGACAGTACAAGCCTCCAGCTGTATATTTATCAGTGGTGACAATTTTCTGCAGCCGTTGTGGCGACGCATTTATCTCTGTTCTTCCTCAGCCGTGTGCACCATCAATTTAGTGTTTTTCCCTCTGTCACAGACAAACATCAGTCACCCAGCTCTGCCCCTCAAACAGATGGATCCCTTTTGATCTATTATTTCCTCATTATTAATTTATACATCATCTCACAGCAAGGGATTTCACGGTTCGGCACTTTTTATATTTTAAGATTATTAATTAATTCTGGTAACTGGCTTGCAAATGATCTTTTCTCCGTGACAAAGTCAGGTTCACCTTGACAGTCTTGATCTTTTTTTGTCAACTTTCATCTTTTGTTTTGAGAAATGAATGCCCCCTCTGTGTTGTTTTTTTTTTCAAAATGTAATTATTGAAGATGTTGTCAACAAGTCAGCAAAGAGTACACTTGAATGATACGTCATTAATGATATCTCTTTTATGAAATCTTTGTTTTAACTGGGCTGTTAATTTTAAAACCATAATGGTGCCAACAAAAACATTACGTTAAAATATTGTGTTATTTTCTTGTTGTGTATAAGTACCATGTAGGAATATGCTGGGGGGATGTTGTGCCATGGTAGCAGGTATGCTTTGCATGTATGAGGCCCAGGGTTCAATCCCCTGCGTCTGCATTCCTTTATGCACTTTGAGTTGTAAGTCAGTTTGGATAAGGGCATTTGTAAAAAGCCTGTAAAGCAATGTGTGTGACTCATTTGCATGTGATTGACAAACAGTACATTCAGAAATGCAAAATGATGGCAAATAAGAACCAATTACAGCCAAGAAAACCATACCTCAGATTTACCCATGAATAAAATAAAACACAATTATTGACAGAAGAATACTAACACCATTATGTACATTGCACCACTGCGGTGTTGGTGCTTTGGAGGTTTGGCAGAGCTGACCAGCTTAAACTGAGAAGTAAGACAGCACGATTCAATTGTGCTCCCATGCAAATGAAGCTCTGTATAGGTACAACTCAACTATTACCCAGTCAAGCAAAATGAGATAAGCAGCAGGCTAATGTGAGCCTTGCAGATCAATGGTGGGCTCATGCCTCGGTGTGTGTCAGGGCTGGCGGGATGAAATTGGGGCGGTGCAAAGGCCCTCAGCCTGCACTCATTACCGCCATGCATTTATGCAAAGCAGCACATCTGGCGCCCTGCCGCGCCACGGCAGGGACTGTCCATGCAGGCCGAGCCTCCAGCAGGTGCGAGCGATGCAGAAACCAGGCAGGCCCCTCAGCAGCTCACCAGGGGCTTCAGCACGGGGGAGGAGAGAGAGAGAGAGAGAGACAACCCCCCCCAACCCCGCCTGCCGCCATGGATGGGCCATCCCTGCTCCCTCCATCTGCCAGGCGTCAATTTGCGAGGCGAGGAAAACACAACAGCATATGCCGCTGTTTGGATAGGTGAGAGCATGGGGAGGGGGGCGGCTTTCATCTGCTCTGCTTTGATGAACCTGTCCGCTTTTCCTTCTCCTTCTGTAAATTTAAACACACTCAATGCTCCTGCCACCTCAGCAGACAAGGCTTACAGCCCATCCCAGGTTCTTCTCTTTATTATTTTTCCCTTCATCTTCTTCCTTGTCTTCTGCCATTTTAAACCCAACATTCTGCCATTTTAAACCCAGTATTCACTCCAACATTCAACATCTCAGTGGCCATGCTGTAACACAAGGGTGTCCGACTCTGGTGGACTACACAAACTGTCATTTACTTCTTACTCTGTATTTATAAATGCACTTGATGTACAAGCCTCATACTCAACTCCAGGAAACACAGCAGAACCCCCACTTATCACCCAATGACTACAGACTATAATCAACAGGACATCCTGGTACCAACTCCCATCGCACTCCTCCCCAATACAATCACTCTGGTGCCTTTATTCAGGAAGCACTTAAACTTGCGTCTAAGCAGCAAACAGATTTATATATATACTGTATGTATATATATATATATATATATATAGAGAGAGAGAGAGAGAGAGAGAGATACACACACACACACACAGTATATTTTTTCACAAGTGAAAGCATCATTCATTTCCTGCTTTTAAGGATAGAATTTAAGAAATGCACAAAGAACCTTTGAGTTTTATTTCGGATGCATGATGTAATGCATGTTGGCTTACAAATGATTCTTATGCATTATTCACTGAGAGGAAAAGGTAGACTCCGACCATCTTGTGTTCATGAAAAGGTCATTGTGCATCATCTTCACTCCTGCATATATTTCAGTTTTTTTTTCTTGCAGCTCTACACAATCATTCCATAGCTGTTTTGGAAGTAAACCATCCACTCACCTGACAAAAAGGTTATTGCACTCATTTTAATGCATCCAGTTTCTTTGGCCTGCCTGCAGAAATGTTGATACAAGGTAGAGCTGAATATGCCCTCTGGTGCTGTATAAAAAATAGCATCACAAAGTCCATGTCAAAAAAACAATTACACGCTGCCCTGATTCATGAAGAAAAATGCAGAAGAGCTGTGTGGAAATGGATTAACGGAGTTTCATTATACCGACCTGAGGAATTCAATTTGTCTGCTTCCCTAAGCACTGCATGCTTCGCACAGGGAAGCTCAATGCTTCGCACTGCAGTTTGGTAAAAAGAATGCAGCACGTGGAACTAAAGCCTGTGTCAAACGTTGAGGTGTTTAGATGTGTTTCCTCCAAACCTTGGGGAGAAATGCATGATGGGGAGTAATCCGTTGAGATCTGGTGAACTGGAGAACAGCATGGCACAGAGGGTGATATTGTAATGACCTGTAGTTTGTTATTTAGGGCTTTATGTGTAGGGTTGAAGCTGATGCCCTCATAATTTTTTTCCTGCTCATTTTTACTTACATTTCTATATACACTGCTTTAATTTTGATATTTAAATTAATGAACCAAAATAACTATTGCTCAACATGGAGCGTTTGTGTATAGTTACATTTACTTTTAGGCAATTAGCAGACCCCTTATCCAGTGCTACTTACAAAAGTGCATAGAATAAGTTAGCATACCAATATACATCTTTGGTACTGTATGTGAAGTATGTCCTAAAGACTAACTGTTTAAAAAGGGAGAGGAAAAAACTGTCAAATTATTCAATTATTCAACTGTCAAATTGTTATTAACAATAGGACTTAAAAAAAATTCCTAGATAAATGCAACCATTTGCATTTTTTGTAAGACCAAAGAGTTTTATTTTGGTAAAGAGCCCTCTTCCCACCTAAAACACCCACTCAACCCTGTCTTATCCTGTAAAATCAAAATAATGGTCATCACAACCTCACAGTTGTGAAGCAGGTGTTATTTCATTACATTAGTGAATTGCATTACATAAAGATGGCATTTCCATCTGGTGGTAAATCGCTGGTATGGAGTTATTTTGTGCATACAGAACATGACTCCATTACAGTCTGTATAATAGACACAACAGTGAGCAGAACATTTTGAGGGCAGTAGTTTGTAACTAATTTGAGACATAACTCTTGCAACCCAGGTTATGGAGGAGAGATAACAATCGTATTGTATGTTTCACCATGGGATTGATGAGGGTGGGGGGTTGATCGAACATCTTTTCTGTCCATCAGTACGATGCTGCACTGCATATACCAAGGTAGACAGCATCTCATTTACCTGTCAGGTCCCATTAAAATGAGCTGTGTGGTGATAAGGCAAATGGTATGATAAAACAACGCCGTAAACTGATTGTTCAGCTAGTGGAGGCATTTATCGCCCCGCTAATTAAAGCCCGCAGCCCCGTTGGTGTCGAGCGCCATTTCCTCGGGGAGGACGCACGCACCGGCAGATTTCATTTCACCCACGGTTTTAGGAGACGTTAAAAAATGTTTTCATTTTCGCTGGGGTAGGGGAAGGGTGAGGCTGCCTCATTTAAATGCTGCTCGTAAAGAAGAAAAAGCCCCGCCGCGTTGTCTTGATCACTTCAGAATTGGGATGATTTGCAAAATGTCAGGCTGTAGTTAGCAATTCAAATGACCTAAGTGGCAATTATGCCTTTTTCATGTTTCCAGCGTGTTCCACTGCATCAAAGCTGACACTGGTGCCCAGCCGCTCTAATATGAGGATATGCGGACGTAAATGTTTTAAGGGATATGAAAATGTAACAGCGAGAGATTAATAACGGCTCTCCATCGAGGACACCAGGCTTTCCTTTTTTTCTACCCCATTGGTCTGTAAATTATAAAAGCCGCTTGTGTGATTGCGTGTCTGCTTGAGGGTGAGGGGCGAATTGTATTATCACTCTCAGTGCTCATAATCAATTGTGTCAGTAATGGAGGTGGCAGGAAGAGAAAAGTGAACAGTTATGGAGCCCTCTGGGGTAATATTCGAGCCTCCATCTCCTCACTGTCCCCTGTTGAATTATTCTCTGGGAAGCCGCTCTCAGACAGCTCTCCTGAGCAAGGAGGGCTTCTGTGATGCTGACGGCACAAGCAAAGGTAAATGTAACCAGCCTCTACAAAAGAACCCTTTAAAATTTTAACAGTGCAAAGGAAATTGCATGCGAAAAGCCCTCCATTCAATAGGCATCTCCATTATGACACTACTTCACTGGCATTACTGGTTGGTCATATTTTTATGTATTCTGATAATACTAATATAGCACATTTGATTCAGAAGTAAACTTTTTTTCTGGCTATGTCCGCATTCACTACTTCATTGTTACTTGCATGATACTGTGACCAAATGCTGCCAAGTGATAGAATGAGGTCACTCTAAGGCCTGCTGGGAATGCTGATTGTCAAATGGTTAATGAAACATTCCAAGTTCTGTTGCCATCGTTCTTGTTCATGCTTTTAAGGTTTGCTATGAATATAGATAAATGGGTGTGACTGAAGACAGTACAGACCATAGCATACTAAAGTGGAATGTACTTTTGCAAATTTAACAATGCAGACAGTACTGGAGCCAACAACACAGTTTGTACAGTCCTTCAAGGAGCAATCACATGCATTTCACATGTGAAATACCCAAACTATACACAGATATATATGAATACCTGTGAAGTAAATGTGACACACGGTTAGTATAGATATTTCACATGATATACAATATGAGAATATGAGGTTTATATGCAGGAATGTGCAGTATACACGATTCACATTAGAAATGCCATAAAAAACAAATGCAATTCACATTCTCTTTTGGTCAAATAGTAGCAATGGGAAAATGAGGTAGCATGATATCATTTTTCCAGCAAGTCACTGATTTAAACTGTTTTGTTGTAAAGAGGACACACTTTTGATTGGTTGAGAGAAGTCACTTATCAAATGATATTTATACCTCTATTCTTGGTGTCATGATACCTCATTCACATACTGCTGGATGAATGCAGAACATCTCTTCTGGAAGATTGATCAGAAGTGTGGAACATAAATCGTAGATTTGCCTGTTCACACTGTATACAAGCTGATAAGCTATATAATAAAAGCCACCAGCCTGAATACTGCAAATCTACAGCAGCTAATGATTAATTAGATATCAGTGGGTTTTGTGGATGACCAAATCCATAGAGATAAACACCCTGCAGGCCATATTATTTAACCATATTATGCTATGGTGGATTTTTGCTGCTTCCTGCTTCCTGTGGTCTGGATGACAGGTGCCTGCATAAGGTAA